CTCGGGCGGGGGTCCTTTTTTGGTTCTTGAAGGAAAGCATCTAGGCTGGGGTGGGGGGTTTTGGGCGTCTGGACCAGCCCCGTCCGCGTCCGCGGGGCGCAGCACAAGTGCGGCCCGGGGGGTGAGGGGTGGGGGGGCGCCGGGCCGCGCCCTTTTCTAAAGTCTTCAGTATGTACAGTCAATAAAACAATCGATTTGAACTGGGCTGGTTGACTCTTTGTCAGGGGACAGAGGGAGGAAGCCTGGGGGGTGCAGGAGGAAATCATACAAGGAAGGGGGTCCCCGAGGTCCCTCCCGTTGGGATCCTTTGTGAGGTCTCGTGTTTGACTATCCTGTGATTTTTGCCAGGTGTTTACACTGGGGTGCACCCTTGGTGCCTCCAGCTCCGGGGTGGAGGGGCAAAACCACGTGGGAGGGGGAAGGCTGGTAGTGAGTGGGGAGGGCTTGAGGAGAGGGTGGGTCTCTGCAGACAACATGAGGACCTATGGTGTGTGTGTGTGTGTGTGTGTGTGTGTGTGTGTGTGTGTGTGTACAATTCTTGTTGCTGTGATGGGGTGTGGCTGTGTGTGTGACAGCCGAGTTTCTGTGTCTCCCCACTAGCCTGTGGAGAAGCCAGTGGAGAGATTCACAGGGGCAAGACTGCTGTGGCTTGCACAATAGAAGTCAGAAATAAACTACAGAGCAGGCAAATGATGGAGAGCGGAGAAGGGGCAGCCTGGCAAGGTTGATTCCTCAGAACAAGCTAGCAGGAGCCTAGTGCGTGTGTTCGCCCGCGCGCACTCTCAGTGAGCGACATATGGACAACAACTGTCAGGGCGTGTGAGGCTGGGGGGGGGTGTTGCGGGGGGCCTGAGGTGGGTGCACACGTAGAATCAGGTTGAAAGCACACTGATTTAATAGTCCCAGAAATGGGGCTTCTTGGGTGGGGAACAGGAGAGACAGGGATCCAGTGTGGATGCTGTGTGGAAGGAGGCTGAGCCTAAAGTGCTGTCTCTGGGTGGGCTGTGTGTTTCAGCGTTCAGCCCGGTGGGACAGGGAGTGGCCAGAAAGGGAGGTGGAAAAGGAAAGGAATAGAAATAAGGGGAGCAGATGAAGATTCCATACTACATTCGCTGTGGCTGTCAGGTCTTCCTGACTGGACCAGTCCAGGCTGGGGACAAGGCCAAGTCTAGACAACTAGCATCCTATTCCAGCCTGCAGAGGTGGTAGCTGGGACATTTTCCAGGGCCGGACCCCAGGTTTCCTGCCCAGACCAGCAAAGCTGTCTTAGAGAAAATTTCCCTTCTGAGAGTCACAGTCTGAGCTCTGCCACTGCAGCCCACCCCACTGGCACGGACACAGCTCAGAAATACAATCTTTTTAGGAAAAGGGCTGCTTTGCTCTACCTGCAAATACTGCCTTTGAGCAGTGGGCAAGGACTGGCCCAATTCCTATGATTAATTTAGGATCTACCCAGTGGTTGCATTTGGGCACAGCCTGGCTGGGCCCCTCAGTGCTTACGGATTTTTGTCGAATCCAATCTTCTGGTCATGATATTGGGGACAGAGACAGGCAGAAGGGATCCTTCCTATCCCCACTGTCCTAAGGATAGGGGGCCCTCCTGGACACCCCCTAGGATCCTGAGTGCCCTAGGAGAATGTGCAGAGTTGCTTCTTTGTCCCTGGCCAGGCTTCCTAATAGATGAACACATACTGCTCAACTAGGCCTCATGCTCCACAGCCCAAAGGCTGTGCCCACAGGACAGGAATGGTTGGGTGCTGGAGGTGGAGGAGCAGGATGCCATGACATTCCCCTGAGATACCAGCCCTCTTGGAACATTCTCATTTCTGTCTGAACCTTTGTCACATGCACAAAATGGTCCCCAGCCCCTGGCCTTCCCTCCTGCATCCTTGTATTTTATTATTTCATTTCCTTCCCTCTCTCCTTTCTGGTCTCTTTTTCTTTCTGCCTCGTTCTTTTTACTTACTCAAGAATCTCATAAAATTCCAGGGTTGGAAGGGACCCTGAAGACTCGCTATTCCAATTGCCCATTTGAGGTTTAATTTTTTTTTAAAGATTTTTATTTAAAAATATAGCTAATAGGGCCATCTGAGTGGCTCATTGGTTAAGAGTTGGCTTGAGAGCGTGAGCTCTGAGCAGCAGGGCCACCGGTTCGGATCCCACATGGGCCAGTGACGCTGCACCCTCTACAGCTAAGATTGTGAACAACAGCTCGACCTGGAGCTGGGCTGCCATGAGTCGCCAGCGATGGTGTAGGCTGCAGTGGAGCTGCAGTGGGTGGCCATAAGCTACCGTGAGTGGCTGGCAGCCTGCGTGAGTGGCTGGCAGCCAGCGTGAGCTGCCGGGAGCTGCCGTCCAGTGTCCGGCGACCGATCTGCCTCAGCCAGGAAGAGCACAATGATCGTAATACCAACATGGGCAGTGAAGCGATGTCCTCCACAACTAGACTGAAGAACAAAAGGACAGCAACTCTGTTCCCCTTCCCTGATTCCCCAATGCTGTTCCCTCCTCCAATTCCCCAATAAAATATTTATGTATATATATATATATATATATATATATATATAGCTAACAGACAACATTGTATCAATTTCAGGTGTACATCATAGTTGTTCAACATCTATATACCTAAAGAAGTGATCACCGTATGTCCAGCAACCATCTGACACCATACCACACTATCACAATATTATTGACATATTCCCTATGCTGTACATTACATTCCCGTGACTTATTTGTTTTATATCTGGAAATTTGAACCTCTTATTCCCCTTTCCTCTTTTTAATTTTTTAATTACAGTCAATATTCAATATTATTTTATATTAATTTCAGGTATACAGCATAGTGGTTAGACATTTATATAATTTAAGAAGTGATCCCCCTGACTAGTCTAGTAGCCACCCAGCACCATACATAGTTATTACCATATCATTGACTGTATTCCTTATGCTTTACTTTGCACCCTCGTGACTATTTTGTAACTATTTTGTACTTCTTAATCCCTTCACCTTTTTTACCCTGTCCCCCAAGCCCGCTCCCATCTATCACCCTGATAAATCTAGTACCCATCTGACACCATACATAGTTATTACAATATTATTGACTATATTCCCTATGCTATACCTACATCCTCATGACTACTTTGTAACAACCAATTTGTACTTCTGATTCCCCTCTCTTTTTCACTCAAGCCCGTTCCCATCTGGCAACCATCAAAATGTTCTCAGTATTTGTGAGTGTGCTTCTATTCTGCTTGTTTGTTTGTTTGTTTATTTAAGTATTTTTTTTAATTGGGGAATTGGGGGAGGGGAACAGTGTTGGGGAATTGGGGAAGGGGAACAACCAAGTTGTTGTCCTTCAATCTTAGTTGTGGAGGGCGCAGCAAGCTCAGCTCCAAGTCCAGTCGCCATGCGGCCGCTCAGGTCAAGGTTTCGTTTTCAATCTTAGTTGCCCGGGGTAGGTAGCCCACCATCTAATGTGAGAATCACACTGGCAACCTTGTTGTTAGGAGCACATGCTCTCACCAGCTGAGCCATCCTGCCACCTGTTGGCAGCTCAGTGGCAGCTCAGCTCCGGCGCAGCTCACTGGCCCATGTGGGAATCGAACTGGCGACTCTGTTCCTCAGAACTCGTGTTCTTAACCAACAGAACCACTCAGCTGGCCCCTATTTATTTTGTTCTTTAGATTCCACATATAAGCAAAATCACATAGCATCTGTCTTTCTCTGTCTGACATTCTCCACTCAGCACAATAACCTCTAGGTCCATCCATGCTGCTGCAGATGGCAAGAACCCATTCGCTTCCATAGTCAAGCAATATTCCTTTGTATATATGTACCACCTCCTTTTTATCCATTCATCCATCAATAGACACCTAAGCTGCCTCCACATCTTGGGCATTGTAAACATGTTGCAATGAACATATGGATGCACACGTCCCCTCGAAGTACATTTTGGGTTTCTTTGGATAAATACCCAGATATGGGATTACTGACTCCTTGTTTGTCTCTTGTTATATATAGCCTTTGTTTTAAAGTCTATTTTGTATAAGTATTGCTACTCCAGCTTTTTTTTTTTTTGCATTTCCATTTTCATGAAATAACTTTTAATATCCCTTTACATTCAGTCTGTGTGCTTCTTTCAATCTGAAGTGAGTCTCTTAGTCTCTTGTAG